ATGCCAACAGCAACACCAAGAATAACCAAAGGAACTAAGAACTGCAAGAGCTTGAAGACGAACTCGTTGGTCTTGTCCTGGTTGTAGTGAGGCTGATTTGGGGGTTTGTAGCTTGTCTTGGATGGAATGGTTGACTTATCAATTTCACCAACACATAACTCCTCCATCATTCCCCTAGCACTGCTGCTGTGGCCGATATCCTCAAAGTCATCAGTCGCATCCTTCCCTACAAAAAAACCGCTTTTTTGTTGTATTAGTATTTCCTTGATTCTGGTTAAGAGTTTCTTGAACATTTCCATTGAAAAAAAAGAATAATCCTGTTGTTAACTGATACATGCGGGATTAGTGCTCTAACAAAGTTGATTCTGGGGAAATGAAAAGTTGAAAACTAATATATATACTAGCTTATTTCATATCGGTCAACTCACAAGTCATTTACCAAAAAAGACGATTTTAATGGTGAACCTATAATAAATCACATTGTCTTGAGAGAAGGGAAATAATCATACCAGTGGCTGACAACAGAACCTCATCACCACCTGGATGATCTTCCAAAAATTTTGTAACATCATATACCTGCAAAGAAAGAAAAAAGTGGTGCCCGTGTGGGATACGATGATTTGCAATCTAAGCATTCATTAAACAGGCGAGCGGATCATTAATAAGAAGCCGATGAAGAAAGCTTAACGCCAAGACACTAAAAATGATTGTGCACCCAATTGCTTTATTTCAACAATTCGATTTACTTATCATTAACAGATTGTGTGCTTAAAGGAATCTCAAATACACAGGTCATCTCAAATGTGTACTTTTCATCCTTTTCACTTAGACACTTCTAGTATGTTTGGTTGAATGAGAGTGGGTGGGAGGGAAGTGAGGAGGAGTAAGTTGGAAAGAAATTGATGAATCTCCATTTTTCGCTTGGAGGGAAATATGAAAGAATATATGAAGGAATTAGGAGATAAATAAATATTGAGAAGAAACTCCACTTCCTTCATACCAAACAAACCATTTGAAATTTTATTTCCATTCTACTACCTTCTTGCTCATTTCCTTCCCCTCTACTTATGTTGCCAAACATAGAATTTGTGCAATTTAAAGAACACCAACAACTAAGCCTTCGTACAATTTCAATACGTAAAAAAAGATTCCACTCTTCATGTTTGCGAGTATATCAAAAGAGAGTAAAACTTCCCAATTGATATGAAAGTGGCACATGAATCTCGTGATGCACAAATCATATCCCACCATTTTGATCAAATGATGTCACTTTTGGTGCACTAAAGGAGTGTACAAATAAGATTTTTACGCTATCTTGTTGTACAACAAAATGGTGCAAATGGTTGAAGAGAGAATAATCATATAGTGGAAACACAGAAAAAGTTTACTTTCACAGCCAAGATGACAGATCCAAATAAAGAACTGCATCATAATTAAAAAAACACCAGATAACAGGATGAATCAAGAAAGGAACACAACGTGCACGCAAAACAGAACACTAACCAAAGAGTTTATCAAGAAAACAGATTAAGGCTCCGTTTGGTAGCCTTATCCAGCATAATCCTATCATTTGACTTTCTTGTTTTTCTCAGAAATTGTTTTTCTAGGATTTTTGCTGCCAGAATTCACAGGCAAACAACTATTACCAAACAGGCTCTTAACTACCAAGTTCACTCGGAAAACCATACATAAGCCCCCAAAATTACAGTAACAAAATACGGGTCAGTTTAAAATAAGAAAAAGACCGAGTCTTTAACAGATCTAAGCACTAACAGAGCAAATTCAATATCTGTACATATGGAGACCAACCTTGCCTTCGATGATGAGCCAACAGTCCTTGGAATGGTTGTGCTGGGAGACCTCGGACAGAGTATAGACCTTTTTGGTGTCACCCATTTAGTTGGACTTGAATATGAAGGCGACGAGAGAGGAAAAGAACAGCGATTGCTTAAATGCAAAATCGACAAGTAGATCTGAATGGGTTGAAGAGTGAAATTGCAGGGAAATTAGGCGTCGTTAATCACAAAGCCTGCGTTGGGGAAGGAATAAATACGAAGGAGCGGATTTCAAAGAGTTGGTGGGTTTGATGGGTGAAGGGTAGACGCAGGGTTGGTGGGCGGGTGAATGCCCTTCCTAATTTATGAAATTTAGTGTATTTGGATGCAAACTACTACCTTCGTCTCACTCTCTTTGTCCATTTTTTACTTTTGGAACTGTTCATCTAATCAAATTCTTTCAATGTGTAAGCCTAAATATAGTCAAGTGTGATCTTGTTTGATTTGTCTTAACATATAGGTTATTAATATATAATTTCTATAATTTTTTAATATACAAATTACAAGATAAAATGAATTAAAGAAGTGCATTGGATGGTGTGACAAAAGATAAATGGACAAAGAAAGTGGGACGGAGGGAGTATGATTTTGCAAATTTTGGTACATCCACCAAATGAAAACAAAGATGATTTTATATAAGAAATCCGTTTAAATTTTGAATACTCATACATGAATAATTGAACAAACTACTCATTTAGCAACGATTATAATACTAGAATAGATCATCATTTGTTACGAGAAATGAGGGGTTGTAATCATGTGCAATGAGAACAATCTCTTTTCATGAGTTTTTGACTAGCTTTGATTTTTTCTAGTCAATCATTTTAAATATATAAAAATATATGCATGCTAATTAGATATAATAATATTTAGAAAATATTTAATAAAATAAAACTAATAAAATTAGTAATGTAATTCATTTAGGGTGTGTTTGGTGAGCAAACAAGATATATGTTCTGATATTTCCAGATATCATAATTTTTTTTAGGTGTTTGGTGAAGCCAAAAAAAGTTGAATTCGACATCACCAGATATCATAAATTTTTCAAATAGAGGATTTCGATACCTCTCGAAATTGGTAAATATCAATAAAGAAGTTTGATATCTCTCTCGACTATTGATCATTTTCCTCCACCGGCTACCATTGTCACCACCTACTACTCCCATTGCCAGTCACCTCTGCCTATCACTAATTAAATCATAATTTTAAATTTCTCAATACAAATTTGTTTCAAATTTCATAACTCACATCATTTCTCCCATATTTCATAATTAATATTTTATCATATATCCAAAACTCACCAGATCGCCTTTAAACATTGGCCTTGTTTGGATGTTGGATGTGAGCTGTTGGCTGTTGGCAGTTCGTGTCAGCTGTTGTGAACGGTTGTTTACTTCAGCTGGTTTGACCGACAGAATGAATTGGCTGATTGTTAAAAATGTTTGGTAAAATTAGCTGTTTGATATATATATATATATATATATATATATATATATATATATATATATATATATATATATATATATATATATATATGTACACACACACGATATTTATTTTTCATTTTTTTACATGAAAAAAATAAATATTTACTATATGGAGTATTAAATTTTACTTTCATTTAATTCATAAGAAATTATTAATATACAACTTTTTAATGATTTTTACTTTTTATTTTCTCATTTCATTTTTTGAAATTTTTAATTTTAAAATTTAATTTTTTTCAGTATTTAATTTTTTTTACTTTTATTTTTAGTTTTTACATATATTATAAAATATCTTTCAAGAAAAGCGACTTTAAAAAAAATTAATTTTTCTAACAGCCAAGTCCAAATGCTACTTCCCTTGGCATTTCGGATTTTAGCTTTTTGGATCAAAATGCCAAGTGAAAAAACCATTAGCCAAACAACGATTTTGGTTGTTCGCTCAATCAAAAAAGCCAAAGTCAGTCAAACATGCCAAAAGCTATCCGAAAAGCCATTTTTTCCATATAGGGCCATTATGTACTTAAGGCCCCGTTCCGTTCAACTTATTTTTTCTTATTTTTTCTTATTCTTATTAAAATCAGACCAGATCAAACCAGATCAGATCAGATCAGATCGAATCAGATCAGATCAGATCCAATCAGATCAGATCAGATCAAGACTTATTAAAATAAGATCTCATCAAGAATTATTATTATTATTATTATATTATTATTATTATATTATTATTATTATTATTATTATTATTATTATGATCATCATCATCATCGTCATCATCATTATTATTATTATTATTATTATTATTATTATTATTGTTCTTAAAAATGAAAAAGAATAAACTTTAGAAATAGGTTAAATAAAAAGTTGAGAAAGTAATCCTTAATTATTAGACGTCGGAAAAATTAGTTTTAAAATACATTGACAATGTCAATCTAATTCTACTTTTAAAATATATTTTTATTGCTACTTGTAATTTGAGTTTCTAAACTTTTGATCTTTTATAAAGATGAGATATTTTAATAAAAATAATATCTCTTCTATATATTGATTATCTAAATTTAATTACTTTTAAATGTATATCTAAATTAAATATTTATTCCAATGTATAATTCTAATTTTACAAAAATATTATCATAAAATAAAAAATATTATTACATTATAATATGAATGATTATTCTAATATATGAATTAACTATTTTTATTTTATTAAAAAGTAATCATTAAATAAAAAATATTGATTATATTATAATATGAATTATCATTATAATTTTCAAACGTTATTATAAAGTCAAATTAAATTATTGATTTGAAATTTTAAATTAAATCATAATTAATCAGATCAGACCAGATCAGATCCAATCAGATCAGATCAGATCCAATCAGATCAGATCAGATCCAATCAGACAGATCAGATCAGATCAGATCAGAACTTATTAGTATCAAATCAGATCAGAAAAAATAAGTTGAACGGAACGGATCCTAAACACACCTTGTAATAGGGTCAAACCATTCAAAAAAAAATTAAAACATTTAAACGGGCGAGGGGAGTAAGCCCATCACAGGGCTTTGAAAATGCTCGGCCCATATTTCTATCAAACCCCGCAGTTTCACCCCCCGGACCAAAATCGACCCGACTAATAATTAGTCCAATTACATAAACCCTAGGTTTCAATGTTTCATAGCGCAATCTGATAGAGCTCATTGCCGGCAATCGAGAGAGATCGAGAAAAGAAGGCGGCAGCAGAATGGTGTCTGGATCGGGAATATGCGCCCGTAGAGTGGTGGTGGACGCTCGCCACCACATGCTCGGCCGGTTGGCGTCCATCTTGGCGAAGGAGGTCCTCAATGGCCAGCATGTGGTGGTGGTCCGCTGCGAAGAGATCTGCCTCTCCGGCGGCCTTGTCCGTCAGAAGATGAAGTACCACCGGTTCCTCCGCAAGTGCATGAACACCAAGCCTTCCCACGGCCCAATCCATCACCGTGCACCCTCTAAGATCCTGTGGCGCACAATCAGAGGGTAAGAATCAGAAATGGATACATTTATGCATTGGATTTTAGTTTTCGATCCATAAATTAATTTGGGTGCATTTTAGAAATTAGATTTTAATGATTTGAGAATTTCGATGTATAGAATGATTCCGCACAAGACTAAGAGAGGAGCAGCGGCACTGGGACGATTGAAGGCGTATGAGGGTGTTCCTCCACCTTATGATAAGGTGAAGAGGATGGTTATACCAGATGCCCTTAAGTGAGTTTACCTTACCCCATTCTCTTTCGGTGATACATTGAAAAAAAACAAGTATTTGATTGGTTTAGTACGGACTAAATGTTTTGAACTCTATTCAAATCAGGGTTTTGAGGCTTCAGGCCGGGCACAAGTACTGCTTGCTGGGCAAGCTCTCATCTGAGGTTGGCTGGAACCACTATGACACCATCAAGGTAGATTTTTTTTTAAATTTAAAAATTTATATTTCTGCGTCTTTGTATTGTTCCTTTAATAATCTACTATGAAATGATTTATGTTATATAGTGATACATGGATATGAAAGGGTTATGCAATTGTAGTAAAAATGTCAACCCTCAAGGTGGGCTCTTTAAATATGTTATGTGATAAGTGTAGCGTGACCATTGACCAAGGCAATATTAAGGGATGTGGTGTCATTGATTTGGATTATTATGCTTGCATTGCGTTAATGTAGAAAGATAGCATACCATGTGCTGAAATCTATTTACTAACATTATGTTTGGTTCAAGGTTTGAAAGGGAAAAGAAGAAAATGAGATGGAAAACAATTTGTCTTGTTTGGTTGGAGAGGAAAAGAAAAGAGAAGTTGAAGGAGAATAAAACGAAAGGGAAAAATGAATTAAGAGGAGAAAAAACACAATTCCTCCCATTTTTGTGAGGAAAATGAGAAAAAAATTTTTCTTTTTGTTTTATTCTAAATTCCTTGAACCAAACATAGCGTAAATGCTATTATCATTAAAAAAAATCAGCATATTGAGTCATTAAAGGCCAACAACACTTGCAAAACCAATTAGCTTTTAGCGGTGTGATAGTGTGTGAACAATTTTTTCTCTCCTTTATATCACTTTGTTCTATGAAACTCTAAGGCCTCAGCATCTATTTTCTGTTTTGGAACCTAGATTATATGCAGTTAATCAGGAACATGGTATTAATAATCAGTCCTTACATATTTTGGCTAACTTGTCATTGGTTTCTTTTTCGAAACAGACTTTAGAGGAGAAGAGAAAAGAGAGGTCACAAGCAGCATACGAGAGGAAGAAGCAATTGACAAAGCTTAGGATCAAAGCTGAGAAGGCTGCAGAGGAGAAGCTCGGTTCCCAACTTGACATCCTCTCCGCAGTGAAGTACTGAAGTTTGGGCTAGTTGGATGCTAAGTCCTAAATACAACATTAAGAAGCCTTTGGTTTCTCAGCAGAAAGCGGTATCAACAGCAGATCTATATTCAAGTTATTTTGTTTTGTTTGTTTTCAACACCAGTGTACCAGACAATTTGCTTGTTTCCAGTTGTTACTTATTGTTCTTGAATCATGCTTGATCAGACTCGGTTTTGCAATGTTTTACTTCGGTTACAATATTTCTTTAATCTATATGCACAATTTTTGCTTGTGAGTCTAGATATGTGATCAAAAAATGTCCTCCTAAAGCCATGTTCTGTTTACTAAAGGCGGATTGTCCGGTCGGTCATAGTATTCCCCTTTTTAGGGTGGTTCATTTCGGAAAACGATTTGCATATGATCGTACAAAAAGCAACATTGATTGCTTGTAGAGTTCCAGTGAGATGTAAAAACATGACCTTTGTTTTTGTTAAAGAACACAACATTTACTGAATTGCAAAACATCTAAAAAACATATCAAAAGGGACATTGCAATTGCTAAATGCAAATATCTGCCAACCAATATACAGCACATGAACTATAACAAGGTAAATGGGAGAGCAAGCTAGAACAATTTTATGTTACATTCGACTTTCATATTTGGTTGAAATGAATGTTACCAAGCACATTGTTTTTCCATTTGGTACATTCATTTCATCCAAACACACTCCTGCCAAACTCACAATTCTACACAATTTACATACAATCACTAATGTTTATACATGGATTACACCATTCACAACCTTTGCTTGGAATCAGTTCTCTGCGACAGCTTCGAAGGAGAAGTCGATCCCCGCGAAGAACTGAGTCCGAAAAGGTTGATTTTACCAATCTTTTTGGAAAGCGAACTCACGAATTGCCCGGAGTTTGACTTCCCCATATTCCTCTTCATGAAAATATGTTCCTTCTCCAGATCATTCAGTCTCATCCTCATCCTCGCTAGTTCAAGCTTCAACTCCCTGTTTTCCCTCCTGAGGGAAGCATAGTTGTCCTTGGGTGACAACATTGCAGCACTGAGAGCTCCCCCATTGATATTCCATGACTGGTGTGGCTGCTTTGGATCGTCATCCGGGTAAGGGCTAAACACGGAGTTCCGTAGCCTCAACTGCTCGAAGTAAAGCACTTGGACGATGGATTGGAGCGGGAGGCGCTCGTTTTGCGCGGCGTGGGCCCCGGCTTCCGGCGACAGCCTCTGGAAATCTAACATCTGGCACAGTCTCCTCTTGTCTTGATCTGATAGCCCTTGATGAGCCTGCATGGAGTATGAACTCACATTTGTAAGGGAGATGTCAAGAAATCAACTTAACCAAAAGCTTAAACTTGTGGTTTTAGGCTCAAAAAGGGGTTTCTTCTTACCTTGAGATAAACATCTATGGCTCGATAGAGACCATCGTGGAGAGTCCGAGCGTGCGTTGGTAGAGTTTCTGCAATGGCTATGAACTTGCTGAGCTTCAGGTTGGCATCTGGTGCAATCTCAGCTAGGTAACTGTCCACAAGTTTGGAGACTTTGGAGAGTGAGGTCTGGGAGGGCAAAGAGAGGGGAGTGTCAGACTCATCAAAAATGGCCGACGATGACCCACCGTCCAAATCTTCTTCGTCCTCGTCATCGCTCTGGTCGCCGTTGCGCCGCTGGTGGGAGAAACTGAGCAAAATCCTATGAACAGTGTCGACCTCGAACAGCGTGTCGCCAGCGTGGCAAAAGGAAGGGATCAACAGATCATCCAGGCTAGCCATGTCCAGAAGAGACCCAATCCTTCTCTCAAGATCAAACCGGCATGCCGTGGCGCAATCGAGCACCACTCCGCTCCTCAGCAACCCGAAGAGAAACCCGATGGGGACCACACCTTTCTCGTCCGGCATTAGCTCGACGATCGCCTCCACAACGAGCTTCTCGTGCTCGCTCGGGCTCTTCTTGTTGAGCTCTCTATGCGCATAGTTCATCAAAGAAGCCGCGATGCTCTCGGGCCGGACCCCACGACACTTCATGGCCGATACTACTCTTTGGTAGAAATCGACACGAAGTGCCGAGAGGTCCTCTATCCACCAATCCCCCTCGCAGCCAGCGGCGGGTCGGCTCATATTGAGCCGACCCGACCCGCTGTACTCGAGCCTCGAGAAACTCGAGGCGATCTGCTCGGCGCACGCCTTCGAGGCTATGGCGTCGACGCAACGCGGGACCACGCTGAGGTCGTCCGCGAGCGGGAGGAGGTTCTCGCATTGCCGGAGAACCTCCACGCACATCTCGAGGCTCCTGTAAACGGCGCACTCGAGGTACTCGTGCGCTCGGGACGACAGGCTGCCGCTCGAGTACTCGTCCGTCATTTGTAAGTACTCCGAGACGCAGCAGAGGTGCGCCACGTTTGACGGGGTTATCTCGAAGTTGACGCCGTAGCAGAACTTTGCCGCCAATTCAAAGTACTCAGCTCCGCCTGGTAAGTTCACCAGCTCAAATCTCGATGTGTCTGATGAATCCCTCTGGTCTGTTACCAGTTTTCGTATCGTCCCGCTCTTCGACACCAACGGAAACTGGAAACAACATCTTTCTAGTTACTAAAAGGAGACATTTTTGAAGACATAAAGTGTATCAAATCTAACACAGAAAGACTAATTTATAAGAACATTGGTTTTTCTGTCTCATATTAAAAACTGGATTTTTAATCTTTACCTTGTGTAGTGAGAAGATGGCACCATCAACTTCTACTGTAATGTCACTGGGAACATCCCGAAATACCCTAAAAGGAGATGAGGATTCAATTAGTGTAATCTTTAACCAATGTAAAGATGGCTTTTTTACAATAAAGCTGCAATTTTTTCAGCCAAGAACAGAGTGTAGAAGCAGAAATTTTAACCCAAAAGAGTGAAAGACTAGCTTTTTCAGAAACCAAACAAGACTATGGGAAAAGGGAGTGGAAATTTACCATTTCCGTTTACAATCTGCAGGTGCAAGAACAGATAAAACAATCTTTAACCAATGTAAAGATAGACTTTTTACCATAATAAAGCTGCAACTTTTTCAACCAAGAACAGAGTGTAGAAGCAGATTTTACTACCCAAAAGAGTAAAAAAGACTCGTTTTTTTCTCTTTCAAAAACCAAACAAGATTATGGGGAAAAATTACCATTCGTTGCATAAATGCTGGGATTTCTTCTTTTCTTGGAGGGCCATGGAGGAGAGATGAATGGACTCTTGAGAAACAAGAGGGTGAAGCTAAGGTGGTCTTGGGAGGGTTGTTAAAGAAGAAAAGAAGTGTTGCTGTTGTTGGGAGACTTCTTTGCCCATTTGTCCTATTTTTTTCATTTTTTTTTGACAAAAAGTATGCTCTCAAATCATAGGTTAGACTTTTTTCTTAAATTGCTGTGGGGATTTGTGGGTCATTCAAAATTAATTACTCCGTAATTATCATTAATTTACCTTTTTTTTTGTTGATTTGTCATTTTTAACTTAATTTATTTGAAAAAAATAGATGTAAAGTTAAACAAATAAAATTCATGCCTTGAAAATCTACCGAGTATATAAAGAGAATTTACAAAACAAAAATTGTTGAAGCTAAGAGTAAACTCCTTTCGTCCCAAAAAAAAAGAAAGAGCATTTTTTTCTGACATCCACAAAAAAAGAAAAAAGAAATTTTTTTCTGGACGAAATAAATGTTATTTTACTAAAAATAAATAAGTAGTCAAAATTCATAGAGAAAAAGATAAAGAATGTTAGAAAAGGAGAAGTATGAAAGCTGTTATAATTGTGTTTTTTGTTGGTGAAGCAGCCCGTGGGTTGGGTCAATAATTATCTGCTTGTGCTAAAGTAATTATTATCATTATTGTGGAGAGCTCGCTAGATAATGGGGCAAATGAGAGACAATAGTTACAGGCAGCTATGTTCAAGTCTCTGGAAAAAAGTAAGTCAAGAAAAACAATGGGAGTGATTAATATGATTAGAAAAAATTGTGCAAAAACCAGAAATTGGAGTTTCTTTTCCTTGGCTTGTATCACTCTGTTTTCCACTCAATGCAAATGTTCAATCATGTTGCTTTTGCACTTCCTTGACCTTGGGTACTCTCTTATCTGCAAAAATATTTACACGAAATTTAAGAAAAATATTTAAAATTAAAAAAAATGTATATTGATAATTTATTGACACGAGAGAAAAAAATTGTGAGTATTAATTTGAGGAAAAAAAGGTCACAAATATCATTAATGCATGTGACTAGGAATAATCTTGTCAATCTTCGCCTTTTGACTACAAAACATCTTAAATTAGTTTTCATCTCGTCTTTCACAAATTCTTATATCTATGAATTTGATATAAGACGTTGACACAGATGCTCAACACGACAATATGGATGTCGAGACATTTTTAACATGTCTCAACATCTTAAAACGTTGGAACCGGACAATATAGATGTTGAGACATATGCTCAACAAGTCCATCATCTCCGATGGAGCCAAAATTTCACCATTTTTTGGCTTTGGGGTGTGATGGAATAAATCAAAATGGATCTCTAAACTGTCTGCGCTTCTTTAATTAATGAAGTAGCAGTTAGTCAAGCAATGCAACTTTCGACGTTGAGCTGGGGGTCTTTTTAGAAACAGCCTCTCTACTTTCGAGTAGGGGCAAGGTCTGCGTACACAGACCCTCCCCAGACACTACTCTTATGGGATTTAACTGGGTTGTTGTTGTTGTTGTTGTAATCTGAATCTTTTTTCGTGTTTTGTTCGAAAATCTACGAATCACGCTGCCATCTAGTGTCTCGAGAACTGCTTCCATGCTTGATATGGTAGAAAAACATTGTCATCACCATTTTTTATTGACACTATTTATGTATGATGAATTTAGTTCTCTTTGTAAAAAAAAGTATTTCTATCTTCTACCCCTCAAATATTCCCAATTCTTTACAAGTTACAATAAATACTCAAGCAAGTGGGACATGGGTGAAAAACCAGAAACTTCAAAGCCCAAACATAACAGTCCATTCATGAAGGATAGCCCAATCTTCCCAAAATGGGCTTTGGGCCTAAAAATACATCTAACTGGACGAACCACAACAAAGAGGATGAGTCGTGAGTCGTGACTCGGAACCGAGCTGGGAGTATCCGCAACTCGTGAGTTTGAATCAGAGGGAAACGCAATGGATATGTATACATGGGTTCGACGCCGGCTATCCAGAATCAAACTGACATCTCCACCGGCGGGAGAAAAAAACGAAGGGTTCGGCAAAGGCGCCGGAGAAGAGCGTCGGATTTACGGCGTCACCGACTCACTAATCGAACTAATCAAATCTTTCTCCGTTGAAACCTTCAGAAATCACCCTCTCCCCGGTAAATTTGCTTTAAATTGTATGGATATATGCACATATATTCATTCTTCTGTGTCCCTTTGCTCGAAATCTCAGATTAAGCAGGTTTTTGCAGATGAAGATGGAGCCGACTGTGGTGGTGATGAAGGAACTTCCGGCAACGTCCGGCGGGATCTGTCTGACTGGAAACAACATCATGCGTTGCTTGTTTTATCAGAAATCAAGGTTGTTTTTCTACTTCATTTTGGAATTCAAACACATTGATTTCTTGTTATGCCGACTTTATGAGTTGTGCACGATTAGACCTTCAATTTTCAAAAATAGTCCTCCAGATGAGGTCATTTTGACAGTGAACATTAAAAGCTAAATGAAATACTAGTTCCATATAATACGAGTAAATTCCACTAGGTACGACTACTCTGTATTATATGGAGCTAGTACTCCAATTAGCTTTTAATGTTTACCGTCAAAAAGACCTTATCTAGAGGACTGACGTGTACTTGGAGGACTACTTATGGACTTTTGAAACTTGAAGGACCAATTGGGTATAACTCATAAAGTTGAAATAGTATTTATGGAATTTTGAAATTTGAAGGCCCAATTGTGCACAACTCATAAAGTTGAAGGACCAATAGTGGAGTTTAGCCTTAAAATTATGGTCCATTCTGATTGGAGCTAAAGATTCCTTTTTTACAATGTTTTGGCTTCTAAAATTTATTGTCATATTTGTTTCTAAGCCAACTGTGTCAGTCTATCACCTGTCACTATTTGCTATTTTTATTGGTTTGTTACCATCATTGAGAAGCTTCTATTTAATTGATCCACATTTCATAATTGACTTGCTGGTACTCTTTTGTAGATTTATATCTTGGAAAAGGTTTTGTTATCTGCCCCTTAAATTTTAGTACCTCAAAGACTTAGAACTTATCAGTCTATATTCTACTCCCCCCGTCGTCCACCGAACTTCTTTCTTTGACTTTCACAGAGTAAAAATGTTAAAAAGTGTAAAGTTTTCCGTTAGAAAAGTGTTGTGAGCCACTAATTTGTTTCTTTAAAAAGAAATGGATAATGTGTGAGGTTCTTCTTTTGGACGGGCGAAAAAGGAAAGGTTTTTTTTCGGGAGACAAGGAAGTATGTAATATTTGCTTTGGTGATTTATCAAATGCTTTTTTGCTAATCAAGAACTCTTTGATAAAATAGCAGTTTCTGTTAAATGTACACATATTTCTCCATTTAGTTAGTGTTTATTGCTAGAAATTATGGTCTCCTTGCTAGGGTCATTGTCTGAATTGATTTTAGTTATTAAATGTGACCATCTTCAGGAACTTGCACGGCTGAGATTCAAGTTATGCCCACGTTATTTGAAGGAGCAACAGTTTTGGAGAATATATTTTTTATTAGTCAAGAGTTATGTGGCAGAGTAAGTTATATGATGAGTTTATATCCTTTTGCTTTGGGTTCATTCACAGCATTATATAGCCATTGATTCTGGGATGTTGATGATTAGATACGAACTGCAAGCCGTGCGGCTGGCAAGATTAAAGGAGATGAGCATTGATAATGAATGCATTAGGGATGTTAATATGGGTGAAGTTGAAATGTTAGCAACAAAGCAACGGATACATGGCAACAACATACCCAGTAAAATCTCACAAGAAGTAGGGTCTGGGGAGGGATGAACGCATACCTTACCACACGTGTCGTGACAATTTACGAAATTGACAAGTAGGTACTATTCTTTTTGGCATTACTTGATTTGATTCTAGTTTTTTTTGTTTGTTTGTTTAAAAACCATGTATTGACTAGTTAAACTGCAACAGACTTACACTACGTTTGGTTCAAGGAGCCCATTTTCCTCACCCAAAATGGGAGGAATTGGGTTATCGTCTCTCTCAATATATTTTGCCTATATATTTTCTTTTTCCTTCAAATTTTCTTTTCTTTTCCTTTCTAACCAAACAAAAAAAAATGTATTTCTCCATCTCATTTACTTTTTTTCACTTTCAAATTCTTTGAACCAAACATAGTGTTAGCGTGTTTATGAAAAGATTAGTTCCTTGCCTAAGATAGGGTGTTCACTGTTCAGCATAAGTTACAGTAAATAAGCTGCCTTTATTGGATTCATTGAATGCTTACAACAGAGTGATCTGCAAAATTTTACAGTTTCTTTCAAAGGGTAAAAGATGAAGAAATGCAGTAAATGATTCTCTGCGCCCCTGAATTGTGTAAGGGTATCTGAAGGGAAATGCAAGTGAGGACCCTGTTTTTTTTTCTTAAAACTGAGGTCTGGAAAAATGTGGCAACTCAGGTAGTATCCATTGAGTGAATTGAAGATTGGTAATAAATGTCACTTAACTGGTACGGAGCAATGCTTGTCAATTTTAGATTGCTGAATTGATTTGATTGTTTGTACTTTGTACTCTATTGTTTGTATATCATACCCTCACAATTTCATATTAATTGTGCATTATGATTTTCTTGACACATTGAGAAATGAATGAATGTAGACATGCAATATGTCTACATTCACTCATTTTTCAATGTATCAAAAAAGTTATAACTGCTAGTTAGTATGGAATCGAGAGAGCATGGGTATCGCAAACACTCGCTGCATGATTATTTTTTTACACCCTACTAGGGTTGGGATTGTTATTTTAGGACAGAAAGAACAACGGATTACTTCCCCTTTTTCACTTATTTTGTCTTCTTTACTTATGTAAGTTATAATGGAAAAGAAGAGAGCTTTCCCTTGGCTTGAGTGGCAGAAGAACCACCGTAGCGGTGATGAGAAACTTTTTGGGACGTGTTTGAGTAGTCCCATTCAAGACCCATGCATTGTGGGGCTTATCGGGACGTGTTTAAGTTTAAATCTTCTTTTTTTCCCTGAATTTGCAATCACGAGTTTGATGTTTTGGCTGAATATTCGTTCTGAAGCTTATAAACACAGTCGAACAAGAAGTTTATTTCGCAAGAATGACTGAATGACTCACCTAAAGGTTAAACTACACATAAATGACAACGACACACCTAATGGTTACTAAACTACACACATCTAGAGGTTACTGTGATTACACTAGTTGAAGAAGACAATGGAAACGGCTGAAGAGTGGTAAACTTCATGGCGTCCAGGTAATTACTGGCTCACTTTCACCCAATCATAACGTCCCGGTAGAGGTAAATCATTCACAATGTCGTAATTATACCTGTAGATAAAAACAGAAGATAAAAAAGTGTTTTTTCTAGAAGTACATCCTTATATGCAGTCTGAACGAATGGCGAGAACGTACTTGTCAATGAAAAGAGCCTCTTGTTGCTGCTCCGAGCGGACGAAAAATTCATCCATTTCCCATCTCGAAGGAAGATTTACTATCGATTCTCCTGTCACCGAATGTATCGCCTCATTCGCCTCCCTTCTTGCTAAGCTACAAGGAATGGTTTCTATTTGTCAAAACATCACACTTTTGAGACTTATATATACACATATAAACCAACATGTGACACATTGAAACGAGATCAAAATATAGTCTGGCCATAAAAAAGTGCACTTTTCTATTTTCCCATGAAAGTAACAAGCCCTCAAAAAAAAACAAAGTCTTTAGCAAAACTCATTTGGGTAAAAAAAAGTGTCCACAATTAGCCAAAATTCTTTATAACCTAACACTAATTTTTTTTTAAAAAAAACTAAATTCTACCGTACTAAATTAGAAAATACTCCTTTTTTTTTACAATTTCATTACTCCAGGTACATAATACGGAGTAAAATGAGGTTTAACGAGGGTAAAATTGAAGAGTTAGAAAGTAGGGAGTAAATAGTAAATACCAGTCGTCTCTTGGCTGAATTGGTTCACTACCATTGGAAGAAGCCTCCATGCCCAAATCATAACCATCCGACCCAACAGAACCCGAACTCACTCTGACCGGCCTTGAACTGGAATGGGCATCCGAATTACTGGAACCCGGGTCTTGCGGGAAGCATCTCTCCCTTGGCCCGTATTTTCTGTTACGCCTGGGCGATTTTTCCGGATTTACGAGGAGGAGCGGGAGCCGCCGGGAGCGGAGCTGGAGGTAACTCGAGTCCGGATTAGACGGCGGCGGGGCGGAGGATTGTCGGCGCAGTAATGCTAGGGTTCTGGCGCGGGTGCGAACGCCGATTGTGGGCTGCGATAGGTCCATCACCGCCACGTCGCCGGCGATCTTGGCCTCTCTCATGTGCTTTCCCATCTCTGATCTCTCTCTAGGGGGGGCCGCCGAAGATGAAGAATGATTGGAGTGTTTTGAGATGAGAGGCGCGAGACTGAGCATTTAATTACTGTATTTTAATGGATAGAGGTCGGAGGGACTCTTTGAAATATTGCTTCTTAAATACTCTCCCAAATCAATTGTGAGTTTGTGACTCTCTTCGCTCAAAATTACTCCCTCCCTCCCGTTTTAAATCGTCCGTTTTGACTTTTGAGTATATTTAATGAAAATTAAAAATAGAGTTGATTTTTTGAAATTGTCAATACTTTTTAGAAGGAATGATAATGAATGAGAATATAATATGGAGAAGATTGACTTATTTTAGAGGTAGTTTAGATATTTTTTTTTTAAAAGTTTACGAAAATAACTAACAGGCAACTTATTTTGGGACGGAGAAAAAAGGCAAACAGGCAATTTAAAATGGGACGGAGGTAGTAAATTATTTATTTACAACTCACATAGTCACATGATCTAAATTTATTCATTTTTTCTTTATTTTTATTAGTCATTTGATAAAATAAAATAGTCATGTCATTACTAGATTTGTAGATCTTTTGATGTACGAGTAATATTCTATACCATTTTTTTAAAAAAATAATTTGAAAACAATTTCAATCAAACATAATAAATCAAAACAAGTGATATAAATTGAGATAGAGGGAGCAATTAATTGTCTCATAAGTTTTGACCAAAATTTATTACTCTGTACCAATCAGATCTATTCAAAATATATTTTATATATTACAAAATTATATTAAATAATAATAATAATAATAATCCATTTCACTTCCATATTACCTAGATTTAAAACTTTCAAGGAGAATCTTAAGTGCAGAGTCTTCAATAAATTTTTTACACTAGTTGGCTCATTGGCGGGGGTCAGAGAGGGTCACAAAGAGTCACAAAGATTAAATGGATAATAAGCATAATTTACATAACACTAAATGAACCAAATTGATAAGCAATGCTATTTTGACCTCTGGGATGACAACACCAGAAACAATCACATACAAACTTGTTATTGTACAGTTTATGAAATACTAAAAGTGTCAACCTTGGTGTCGTCCGTGGTGTGACTGTAGCGTGATCCTCAAATGAACAGCTTCTCACATTCATAGTCATGCTTGCTGGTTTCTTGAATTCGCGCCCCATTCTATGGCTTCTGCAACAGCTCTTTGGCGTTCTTCCTCCGCGGATAACCCACCATTCTTCTTCTTCTTATTGTCCTCTTTCGGAGATTCCTCCTCGTGGGAAGAATCTTCTGATTTGCTCTTCAGCTCATCCGAGAGATGACTGAGAGCACTCACCACATCCGTCATCAGTGGCCTCACTTCCGGATCCTCTTCCAAGCACATTGTTGCTATTGCAGCCGCTTGTCTAAAACTCTTCTTCGGCGCATTTCCTTTTAGAAGTGGATCCAAGAGTTCAAAGATCTTGCTCTGGTCTCTGAAATATGGTTCCGCCTATCAAACATATAAACAACTTAACTAGTTAATCAATTGGATTCAATCTTTTAGTGTATGACTTAATACAGAGACTTACCCAGGCAATCAACAATTGCTCATGGCCTTTTCTCATAGGGTCAACCGCCCTCTTTCCGGTGATCAATTCCAACAACACAACCCCGAAGCTGTAGACGTCTGACTTGACACTAAGATGACCGGTCCTTTGGTACTCGGGAGCGCAGTACCCGTATGTCCCCATTATCCGCGAAGAGACGTGGGAATTGTCTCCGACGGGTCCCACCTTGGCGAGCCCAAAATCAGAGAGCTTGCCATTGAATTCAGTGTCGAGGAGTATGTTTGAGGACTTCAAGTCGCGGTAAATCACGGGTGGGTTGGCCTTTTCGTGCAAGTATTCCAAGCCTTTGGCTGCGTGTAACGCGATCTTCATCCTCTTAGACCAATCCAACACAGCTTGGTTGGGATGAAGATCTGAAGAAATGCATGAAGCTTGTTATAACAATTCAACAAGATATATTAAAAAAGGGAAACCAGTTTGGAGAATTGAGGCATGAACAAATACCAAGTAAATGGTCCTCAAGACAACCCAATGGCATGTACTCGTAAACAAGAAGCCTTTGATCGCCATCGGCGCAATAACCGATTAAGCTGACGAGGTGGGGATGGTGAAGAAGGCTGAGCATGAAGACTTCCACTAGGAACTCTTTGTTTCCCTGCATCCCGTTACGGTCCAATTGTTTCACTGCCACAATCTGCACGCGCCATATTTACTTTTGTTACTTCTCGAGGACCTACAACTACAAGCTTGAGTTGGTTTCTTTGAACTTGTGTCCCGCAATGATTTTGACTAGTACCTACCTGGCCAGTAGTCTCCAAGCGGCCCTTGTAAACGCGGCCAAATCCGCCCTCGCCAATAAGACATTCTTGTCGGAAGTTCTTGGTGGCGGCTGCCAGCTCCCTGAACGTGAATGTTTGTGCTGCAATCTTGTTGTTGTTTTCGTCTTTCTGGGTTTTCACTTCCCCTCCTCTAGTCTCCTTTTTGCCTTCTGTAATTTCAATCTTGAAAAGTTAAACTGCTAGAAGTAACCCAAGACATTATGCCCTGACCATATAGCGAAAAAGGTTCCTAATTCGTTTATAACATATTTCTATTTAAAAACTACATAAAAATTGTATCGGAAAATTGCATTGTAATTACCCGGAGGCGGAGATGGATGGGTCCCGTCTCGGGTCGCCATTTTATTCCTCTTGGACAAAGCCTTCTTATCTTCATGAGAAGTGAAACACGAAAAACAGCTCATCTTTTTTTTTTGAATTCCCAGAAAGATCAATCGAAGAATGGATCGATCTATTTTTGGGTTTTGCCTTGTTTTAATGATAATTATGATTCAGCAGATTATCAAAGGAATATATATAATAATTAAAACTGCATGGCTTTGGCTTAGCTTTGAGATGAAATGGAACCCCTGCAACAGGTAATGCCTGTCTTATGAGACCCAAACTTTAATTATGAATCTAATATATGAGTAATTAATGTGGGTGGCCTGGTAAATCCACCTAGTAACAATAATAAAATCAGAAATAATAATTATATTATTTGTAATTATATATGATGGAAATATATATGTTTGAATCTATTGCAAATTGATGTATGTGCCTTTTTCTAGATTTGTAAACAGATTAAAATGATTCTGAGGAATTCATGAAAGAGAGAAACAGAGAGATTGGGGGAGAGAGATAAAGTTTGATCTTCTTTTTTTTTTATAAGAATTTTTTATTCCTCCCCCCCCGCAGAAAATGGAGACATTGGGGAAGGAAGGTAGACTTTGCCATGGCTTCTCCATCCTTAATGGTGTCAAATGGTATTTAAAAAAATAAACATTTATCAACAATTTCAAGATAAAATTCCGTTTAATATGCCTACAATAAGATTGAATGTGGTTGATCAAAACTACTTAAATTAATCACAATTTTCTATCTCTATTTCACCAACGTAAATCCATTTGCCTATTGCTCCGGTATTAGTGTCTTTGTCTAATTCAATTTTTTACGGTCAAATTAAACAAACTTTAATCATCAATTAAATAAAAAAGGATGGTTCTAATGACAATAACCTCAAATATCATACCCCTCCGTCCCCATTTTAATTACACTTTTATTTTCTTTTTCTTCTCGATAACTTTGGTTTGTTTGTATATTTTCATTGATTATTTAATAAAATAAAATCACCTCTTGTTTTGTAAAACTTTTGATATAATTTTTAACATCTAATTTTTATTTCTTATTGATGTACTCCCTTCGTCCCAATTTAAATCACCTGTTTTGACTTTTGGGCATATTTAAGGAAAATAAAAAATAGAGTTGATTTTCCGAAATTGACATTACTTTTTAGAAGGGGTGATATGAATGAGAAGATAAAGTGAAGAAGAGTGACTTATTTTAGAGGTAGTTTAGGTATTTTATTTTTAAAAGTTTACAAAAACAACTAACAGACAACTTATTTTGGGACGGAGAAAAAAAGGCAAACATGCAATCTAAAATGGGACAACAGAAGTACTAATTTGTAAATAAAATAATTTCAAAAATCGTGAGATTTTACCTCGTAATTCACATTTTGTAATTAAAATAGGGACGTGAGAAGTATATATTTTGGCACTTTTTTTCTTTTTTTTGTCTTAAATCAACTTGAATGTGTTTATGATCAGAAAACAATGTGTGATTCACATAACATTTCTCTAAATATCAGGTACTCTCTTCGTCCGAAAATGTTTTTACCGTGTTGACTTGACGCGCTTATTTAAGAGTAGAAAAATAGTGCCAAACTTTCAAAAATGTCCCTACTTTAATTTGAGGGTGAATTAATTTAGATTGGTGGATGTTAAAGTAAAAGGGTGTGATTGGCATTTACCTTTGTCATACGCATTTGGTTGTCAAACAATCGTGCATGCATATGTCTATGAAACACATGATGTCACACTTTGGTGTCAAAGTTGGTGTGACTATAACTTGGTCCCCTAAACTATTTCCTAACTCAATGGCATCAAATCCTCAATGCATACCCAAAGTGTAAAGTGTGGACCATATAATGCGCAAAATCCATAAAGTGTAGATCATATAAATAAAATCATTGCATGCTTAAGATTGCAGTAACAGAAGTGATCAAAACTTTGATAGATTTCCTATGACCATTAAAGCCAAGGCAAAAAATTAGAAGAAAAACAATGATGAAGAAACGCCCCGTTTTCTCACTTCCATCTGAGGGATTGCCTTATACCAGTATAGATAAGTCCCAGAGATCTCCCAATCAAGCAAACAAGAAAGAATGAAATTGCATCGCTGACCTTGGCAATGACTGTTCTTATCAAGGGCATGGCGATATCAGACAATTCAAGGAAAAGACTGAAGTAATACCTCCTGAAATATATGAGAAAGAATGCATGAGAAAAGACTGTCAAAGTTTGGTACAAGATGCTTATGCAATCGGCTATTTCTAGAAAAAAAAGCAAACAAAATCCTGCAATACACGAGTGCAACAAAGGATCGGCACTCGGCAATCGTATTTATGGAGATTGTAATTCTTGCATAGTTACA